AGGTCAATTCTTTGCCAGGTGTGATAAATTGATACATCATCTGTGATGGAGCAAAGCTGTGTCTGCATGCTCCTAGTTGTAGGACTCTTACCTAAACAGATTTGCATTAACAGGATTTGTGCTATTCAGCATGGAAAACTCAGTGTCAGAAACCTGCAAGTCTCCCAGAACCTGAAAACAATGTCAGAGGTAATATGCTAACAAAGCATACCCCAGTCTGCTTCTGGACCTCTTTAAAAATATGCTCTGGGGTTGATTTTTCCCCCATGTTTAAGGGCCAGATTGCAAACGCGTTGCCTGGGAATGGAAATAGAGTCATGCTCCAGCAGTGATTTTTATTGAGTTAACTATAGATGAGAAAAGGCAGTTGTTAGTACCTGGCAAAGACCCTGCATTCTTTACAGACTCTCTCTGCCCATCCCTTTAGTGTGGAATTGCAGGAATTTATAGTGAAACATGAAAGATGCTGATACTCAAGACCAGGAGCTGCCAGATACAGTATTTCTTCCTAAATCTGTTGTCAGCAGAGGGGTTTCTTGCACAGCTACAGCTGGGAGGGTGGCTTCATAGCCACTGAACGCACACATTAGAGCTTTTTACATACTTCTGCCCCATTACCAGGCTGATACAGTGCTGGCAAAACCTGACTTTGCTCCTGGCCTTGCTCTTCCCTTCCTCCTGAGTGCCACAAAGTGGGTTTTTAGTCCTAGTTTTCATGGATTCTTTTCAAGCAGTTACTCCATACGGCACACAGGGGACAGGGCCAGCCCAGCTTGTAGCAGGAACCAGCCTCTGCGGTTTATGGGTTGTGATGAGCTGATCCTGAACTGCTCAAGTCAGTGGGAATTTTCCACTGAGGAATAGCAGGCTCTAGCCTGAAAGCAGTGGGTAGGGGTGCTGTGCCCATGTGCAGCAGGTCTGTTCCTCTATTTGCAGCTCACCTAAATATATACATTTCACCATTTCCTTTTGCTTTTTTCCCTCAACACTGCCTAAAGCCTGCTCTTTGCTCTGCCTCCTCCTCTGAAATAGATGGTCTAGTTTCAAAGATGGGAGTGCTCAGAAAGTCAAAAGCTTATTAATAGCTCTCGGCCTCCTTTTTAATCTATTCAAAAAGCTGTACAGTGTGCAAAGCTGTTGTGACATGACTTCTCTTTTTAATATCTCACCCTTTGGCTGCCAGGAGTTAAGGAAAAATGAAACTAATCATCAGTGAAGGCTGTAATGCTGCTGCTTTACAGCTGGTGTGGAGCCCAGTGGGAAGTTTTATGGGAGACCCTGTAAGACTCACTGTATGTATGTGTTTGTGGATCTCACAGTGGAGGCTTTGCAGAACAAACCCAGGCAGTACAGTCATCAGCAAACAGTATCAGTGAGGTAGGGAAAACATTTACATACAGCAGGAAAAAAAAGGCTATTTGCAAAAGGTTAATCTTGTAATTTTGTCATCTGTGCTCCTTTCAATATTGCCCTTCAATATTGCCCATACAGAGGAAATGACACTTTTAGCTCTGTAATTAGCACTGTACTAATGCTGGCTGATTAAATTTGCTAATAATATTAAAGAGGAGCTCTAATTTAATAATAGAGACACAAACGCAGGTGTTTCTGAGTGAGGATGGCTTCCCACCTATTATATTCAGTGTAATTTTGTCTTCATTTATACTGTAGATAATGGCCATGCAGAATGGGGCTGTGTTTGTAGCATTGCCCTAGGCACCTTCAGAAGAGCCAGGAAAACATCACACTTTGCAAACTGAGGAGGAAACAAAACTTAAGGCTCGCCCCCTGCCTCTGCCAGTTCCTTAAGAATCAATTTGAATGTAATGTGAAAAGTTCTGATTTTGGTACAGTTATTACTTTCCATTTGGAAAATTAAAATACATCTTAGGAGACTTCACAGTAACCTCGCAGGTAGATGACAGCTGCCACTGGGCAGAGGTATAAGGTATAAAGCAAGTACAGAAGACCATCCATTCCCATGGATGTTAATTCAAGGTTCTGCAGCGTGCTTGATCCCCAAAGTGGAATAAAATACAGGACAGGCAATAAGGAGTCGCAGACAAATTAAAATTTATTGAGACAGACTATTCCAGACTACAGTTAAGCATTTACAGTTAACCAAAGGTAGCCAAATGCTCACATTCCACTGAACTCCTTATGGAAAAAGCATTCAGAATTTACTATGCAATTCTACTTACTATGGTAGTCTACATCCATCTACAGTAGGGACATCAAACTGAAACACGGAATATTTGGATCTCTCCTTACAGATCTACACATTTAACAGTAACGGACATCAACAGCATTGAGAAAAGTATAAAAAGACCAAAACCCACCTACTGTAGAAAGGGCTTTTTGATGTATAGTAACTGTACAAAGCGGTCTATGTGTTAAAGGAACTTGAATGGCATACAGAAGGGACTGCAGGAAAAGCCAACCAATGTAGGAAGCTAAGCTGGATCTGGTGGTCTGTATCAAGAGGTGACCTCAGATCTACGTCATTTGCTGCTTGAGGGGAAAAATGCTACAAAACTTCTAATATCAAAATATTCCCATGCCAGAAATGTACACTGAAACAAACAGACTAGGCTGGAGAGGCAAAGAGAAGCATTCACCAACAAACAGTGTTGCTTTAAATAGAAACTTTACATTTTTAATATAAACTGTAGAATAAATATTAAATAAACATTTCAAATGGTTTAAAATAATAGCAGAGAATAGGTTAAAAGAAAAAGGCAAAGAAAAGGAAGAGGATTCTTTGTGTTCACAGCAAAGACCAGTAATGATCCAAAAAAACCCAACTGTGCTGAAATCTGAACTCTAGATTTTGATTTAACCACAATAGTTAAAAGAAACCTAAAGCAATACCTAACAGTACTTCATAGTCTCTTATATGAAAAGAAAACGAGATTAAAAATTGGTTTGTGTCTCTAAAAGAATGGGACAACTCTGATTTCATTTCTCACAATGAGCAAATGTTTGGAAGGTTAATGACTTGATGCAGATGGGAAGTCTTGCTTTGCAGAAAGCAAAAGCAAAAGAAAGGAATTAAATTAAGCTGGAAGCAAATTAAATCCTTTACAAAGCATAAAGAATGAAAGGGGCCTAAACTGGAAGAGCACTGGTTCTCAGTAGAATTGCTGGTTTCTTCTGAAGGACTAAAACATTGTCTTAATGCAGCTTCCCCAATGGGACACACACACAAATATACGTGTATAAATGTACGTATACACACACATATACGCACACAGATGTATCTATAGGCTGCAGATCCTGCAACCACTGCAGGATGCCAGTGGATCACAAAAGGGTTTTGCTATATAGCCTTGTAATATTTGGGAACTTGGTCTTAAAACAGTCTATAGTCTGAGCTGCCCTCCCAAGCATGGCAGCTCACCCGCCCCGCTCCAGCCTAAGACTCTTGACACCCTGTGGTTTGACACTACTCTCTTTAAACTCTTTGTAGTTGCACCCAACTGAACTACTCAATAAAACGGTATTTTTCCAGTGCTGGCCCTGATGCAGAAGAACATTTGCATAACTGAAGCAGGTAACTGAATGATCACCTGGCCTGGGACACTGTCCTGCATCTGGGCCAGGTAGAATCATAGAACAGAACAGGGTTGGAAAGGACCTTAAGATCATCAAGTTCCAACCCCCCTGCCATGGGCAGGGACACCTCACACTAAACCATCTCACCCAAGGCTCTGTCCAACCTGGCCTTGAACACTGCCAGGGATGGAGCATTCACAACCTCCCTGGGCAACCCATTCCAGTGCCTCACCACCCTCACAGTAAAGAACTTCCTCCTTATATCCAATCTAAACTTCCCCTGTTTCAGTTTGAACCCGTTACCCCTTATCCTGTCACTACGGTCCCTAATGAAGCGTCCATCCCCAGCATCCCTATAGGCCCCCTTCAGATACTGGAAGGCTGCTCTGAGGTCTCCACGCAGCCTTCTCTTCTCCAGGCTGAACAACCCCAACTTTCTCAGCCTATCTTCATATGGGAGGTGCTCCAGTCCCCTGATCATTCTCGTGGCCTCCTCTGGACTCGTTCCAACAGTTCCATGTCCTTTTTATGTTGAGGACAACATACTTGTGTGTGTGTCTCTGTATAAAGGGAAATGTGCTACCAGCGACCAGCTGAACCACCCAAGGCATCTCTTGCCTGCACAGTGCTGTTTGACTGGGATGCACAGCATTGAGCTGGTGAGTTTGAGAGACAGTAATTGTGTTACAGTTTAACATAAAGATATAAACCCTTCCAGCTCTGATTTGGAATAGTTGCATGTGAGAGATTACAGCTAGGAGAGGCTCAGTGGTGTTGAGAAATGGATGATGGTGGCATGTCTGCTCATGTGAGCTGAAGAATGGCCATATTCACTTTTAAAGGCTTATTTAACAGCTTTTCTTTAACCATCTTGCACGTTTGCATGTTGCACAGAAGGGCTTCAGTCTTGGACCCTACAGCTGCCTGCAAGGGCTTGGTTAGACAGGCTTTACCCTGGTGAGGTGCTGGCTGAAGGGATTTACTGTGTGGCCTTTGAAGTAAGGCATAGCTTCAGGATAAGCTGTTGCAAAGGGACACAGGGCTGCAGAAAACAGTTGTGTGGAGAGTAAGTCCTGTCAGGATGAGCATAACTGTACTCCTTGTGGACTTCAGTTCTGTGTCAGGGTGAAATGGCAACCCTGTGCCTTAGGCAGGTCCTGCACAGGACCGCAGAGCTGTACCCAGCGTACAGGTTTAAGCAATAGAATTCCAGAAGTAACCAGCCAAGATGTTTGAGAAGCTACTGATGGACTTCAACTGCTTCTCACAGAATGACACTCCTTAGGGAAGCAGAAATGTTGGTTATATCTGATTTTGAAATAAATTATCTAAAGTGATAGGAAGCCCACAGGGATTTGAGCAGGGCAGACTGCACAGCCACTTGCAAATGGCTGTGGTGGCAGATTTTTGGGAGGATGCAGGGCATGACACAACAGACAACAAATTCCTCATGATTTTACACATCCTTCTGCATTAACAACAATTATGCGAGCTTGCTCTCTGCTCTCGGGTCATTGATCTAGATAAATAGGAAATGAAAGAGGGGAAACCAACTGAGCCCCTGGAACACATGGTGTCTGAAAGGAGTTCCTCTTTGTAGTGCTCTTCTGACCACGTCTGAAAGCAGACATCCTACACAGAGGGCTGAGGACCACAGCTCTTGGGCCAGTGTGCCTAAAACATCGTCTTCTGCCAAACACATGGGATTTTCCTGCTTCTGAGTGAATATGTAACCAGACAAGTGTTGGCTCCATACTGTCCCCACCTTTAGCCAACACTAACTCAGAGGGAAAAGGTAAATCAATCTGATTAGTTCTCTGTGTAATAAGCACATTTTCAATTCTGCAAAATAACTCTTAGGCAAATCACAGGCACTGCTGAAATACTTGCATCTGCGACCTAATGCAAGAGTGGGGTTAAGGTACCTCCTCCTGTCTCTGAAAACAGCAAAAAGAACACAAGGTCACCACAGTACATTACTGCATCAGAGAACTGCAATGGGAAAAGACACAGAGAAGACTTTAATGTCAATATGCTGTGATACAACTGAAGAGCTATGAATATGTGACATGCTGAAGGGATCACAGATTGTATTTTTAATACTCTTCTCTTTCACGTGTGGTTATTACAAGTGTGCAGCTTGTCACACTGAGCACAGGGTTATGCTTTGAAACGTGATCACCTAAAGTTGCCTTTTAAAACAGGCCAAATAAATATTAACTATTGAAATTAAAGAAATGACAGCTTATTACTTTTGATGGTTAGTGCCTGTGACAGCTTTATAACATTGGAATGAGGGATTGCTAACAGAAAATGAAAAACAGGCAGATCTATAGCATGTGAGCAGGAAGCAGAGGCTGCCTGCACGATGTTAGTACCACTCTTAGCGCAAATGAGTTTGGACAGAAGCTGAGGAACAGATATGGAGGTGGTTATGATGCTACAAATTCACAAAGCACTCTAAAGGAAAGGCAGATGGACTCGTTCCCTGCCTGTAGGGCTTGGCCCATTATAGCTGCAGGTTCTCAGCATCTCTTATGAGCAAAGCTGTGCTCCTTAACCAAATAAAGTATTAGTGACCTGGTCTATGCTCTGGTGGGTGCTTTGCCTGTTGGACTCATTCTAAGAGAATGTAAAGAAGAGAAAAATCCCACCAGTAGGTTTCTTTCATGGATTAAATCCCTGATGCTGGGCTGCCAGAAATCACTATCCAAAGAGACTTCCTCTTTACTGGAATGTAACAAACATGGACTAGAAAACGAGGCACCTACATTTCCTTCTTCATAAAAGAAAAACGAGTGCTTCTGATGTGACCCAGGCAACAATTTATGACACAAATTCCTTCACATGAGAAGGGTTTCTAAGCTTTGTACTGGTTCATTGAGTCCCTTCTGCAATTCTTTTTCACAGGATGTATCTCATAAGCTGTGCAGGTGAGGATTAAGACATGAAATGTTTTTGAAACAAAACTCATTGCCCCTGTGGATAGAACAAGAATGCCCCAAACCAAGTGAACAAAAGCTGTATTCCAAACAGTCCTTGTTGGGGAAAAAAAAAGCTGTCTCCTAAAGTAAACAGACTATACAAAATTAAACTCAGTAGAGAGGGAATATTTGTGCCAGGTACTCTCAGATACAATTGCAGAGATATGATATGACTTGCAGTATTGTGCAAAACGTGAGTCCTCATTATGATGGGCACTACCATATATAACCAATTTCATCATCCTTATCATCGTCTTCATCTTCATCGTCTTCATTAGCCGCTCTTACATGAACCTTCACTTTTCCTTCTTTGTCTTTCTTTGCTGCTTCAGGTTCCTCTTCCAAATCATCCAACAATACAACAGATCCACCACTGCCAAAATCCCCTGAGGTTTCTTGTTCTTCTTCTGAAACAGGTGAGCAGGAAAGGTCATTCCTTCACATGATCCCACATCCCTTGTTCATTACTACCCTTGTCATCCAAGCCACTATCACTTGCAACGTTACTTGTAAAACTCATTGGTTTAACTACTCATGAAACCACCTCTGAATTTAAATTTTCATCCTGAATTGGGATAAATTTAAATCCATTTACTCTGAAACATACTTGCATAAAAAAACATGTATTGCCCTCCTCTTATAGACTTGACTGGAGAGCCTCAGTTTCCATGCACACAGGCCAGAAAATCATTACTCATTTATAAATACTCTCATCCCATCACAACTCTATAAACCAGCCTAAAAATATCCCACAAAATGATTTTATTTGACTGCAGAAACCAAGCTCTGCAAATGTAGCTTTTGAGCCTGACATCTGTGATGTGATTCTGGGCACCTCAGACCTCGTAGGCTCCCCTTTCTGCAGCCACAACCGCTGCTGAAGCCCTGAAGGAATGCAGCTGAGCTCTTGCCTGCCTAGGTGTAAGAGCTAATGGGTGATTTCACATGTGTAAATAACAGTGCCCTGACAGCAATTTTATTGGGCTTGGTTATTAATTTATAAAATTGTACACATTTAGGCCTTCCTTTGTCTGGAAAGACATTAATCAAGCCCAATAAATGTGCATTCCACAGTACACAGAACAATATATTTAATAACCATGCCTAGCAATTCCTTAGCCTTAATTTTAGTATTTTATTACATCCTCCAGTCTGGTAGGACAAATATCAGTGGTTGTTTCCTGTTAACTTCTGCTGCACCTCCCATCCCCAAGGACCAGTATGCACATACAGCCCCATTTGTAGTCTGAATAGGAAAACACAGGAGTACTTTGAACACTGGTAGTCATGTTTCCCTGTTGTCACTTTTGTTATCGTACTCCATCGTACAGCAATGGCAGGGCTTACGACAGTGTTAATTCCTTTGTTGTCTGAGGCAAGCACATCATTACTCACCACAACTGACTGTCCCTTGCTTTCTTGAGCCAGCTATCTCATTCCCATACTTGTCAACACACCAGCATTGCCCTGTGCTGCCATGGCACTGAGTGGCTTTGTAATAACCTTCTTCATTGCACCGTGGGATGAAAGCACCTGAATAAAATATAAGGTATAATCAGTCATGCAAGCCTCTGTAGGAGCAAGCAGGTATGTAGAGTATTATGAACTTGTCACTTATTTACAAGATCTTTACAATGTTGGTAAGAAAAATACATGTGATTATCTGGTGCCTAAAAGAGGGCAGAAATTATATGTGATTAACTGTTTTCAGCTGCTCTGGCCACTGCACAGTACATAAATGTGCATATATAGGACATGCAGGGTGATGGCACATGGTACTAGAGATGGGTTCAGTCTGCCCCTGAATGATTGATATTCCCAAAGAGCCCCTTTCAGATTTAACTCCTGGTTTTAAACTTTTCTTCCCTAATGGATTATTACCCTGACTTCATTAATTCTGCATTTCTCTTCCATTTGTGCTCCTTCACTGTTTATCATATAAGCCTTTCCACAACACTGTAATTATCCCTGGAAGGTATCTGCCATCTGCTTGCTATTCATACTAATCTCAAGCACAACTTCTGCCTTATTGAGAGTTCCTATGTATAAAAGAAGTAATGCATATGCTTTACAGAGAGGGACAACACAAAATGAAATCAGTAAGTCTTTGGATTTGAAGCCCAAGATTTGTCTCACAATAAAACAAACAGAGTTCAGCCTTGTAGAGTGTGGTTCATTCTGGTTTCTGCAGACAGAGAAGCTCTCAGGAGAAACCTGTTTTATTGTTCCCACCATTTTCAGCAGATACAGCAAACGTACTTCAATATGAAAAGCCCTCTTGTCTGTCGAGATGAGTTAGTGTTATTCCCAGGGGAGGTCAGTACAGTCATTTCCCCTTCTTTGCCAATTGCTCCAATTTGAAACATGGCAGAACCCCACCCTTGCCCCCAAATTTCTTGTCTCAAATGATTTTGGAGGAAGTATTTTTCTCCTTTGTCAAATATAACAGTGATTCACCGGTGTAACAGTGAGTTTTTAACTAGTTCCATGTGTATAGCATCTCTTCAGACACTTTATGTGTCAAAGAGGCTATTTCTGCTACGTTTCTCGCAGAAAAAAATGAATGAGGAGGTGCTGCCCAAATGTCATGAAATTTCCTATATAAAAGCCATAAAAGTGGAAGTCAGTCAATCTCATACACACACACACATCCATATAAAATGAATCCATGAATTTCCAAACTCATCACAATACAGATCTCATCTCATGCTTGAGTACCGCTAATGTAGGCCTGGAAGATGAGAACAGAAACCTTAGGGCATCTGCAGAAATCTCTGAGTATTGGATCAGTTTTGGAGAGCATTTTATATCCATTACTGAGAGTATTACAAGTAACTTCAAAGCATGAGCTTATAGCAGGTTTGCTTATAGGTACCATAGTTATGTTCACATACAAGCAGAAGCATCCTGATGACTACCAAAGACTCACTATCACTACTGACAAAAAAATGGATCTAGTAACACATATACACATTTGCCTTTGCAGGTTTTTGTAAGTTAATGCTCACTGTTCAATCCTTTATCTCAATATTACTGGAGAAAGGTTTCTTCTCATATTTATGCTCATATCCTCTCTCTGTTGAACCCTCCAGGTGTTTATCACTATACACAACCTCTGGAGAAGTGCTTAGGTGCTGATACTGAGCTGGTGCACACCAGCATGGCTATCCCTGGGTCACTAGAGCTACCTGGAGCATCTTGCTTGAGGGAAGAACCAAAGGGGCAACCTCAGTGGCATTACAGAGCAAGCAGAGAATGGCCTCTGCACTTTTAAACTGTCTCATGCTTTCTCTTTTCCTTGGGCAATGCAACCTTTCGCCTTCTTTGAAACAGGCCCTTTTTTGCATAGTTTCACTGCGTTTCTTGTAAGGTATTAAAATGTTCCACACTGCCTGTAAAAGCCATAGATTTAAAAATAAATTCTGGCCCAGGCTCCCTGCCAACATAACTGTGTGTGGAAAGGATTCACACTTTGGGTCACAGCAAAGAGTAGAAGGCATTTTTTCCTTCTGCATGGGGAATTTGTGCCAATTTGTACTTAACACTGGAGCTTTCAGTATTTAGCTACGCATACTAATGTCACAGTATTTGCCTGTCATTAGAGAGAAGATTACAGCATGTCCTCTCCAATGTGTCAGGTGCAGGTGATAATCTGGTGAGGATAGAGTCGCTGGGAGCAAGTGCTGTATGGTGTAAAGATTTGTCCTGTAAATCCTACACAAATCAGCCCCTATGTTCATTAGAAATAAACTCTGGGTGCAAGTTTTGCTATTCTGGAGCACAGCATCCGGACAACCCATTTAGTGGGAATACCTCACCCCATAATTTGGTTTGGCAACAGAGAACGTACGCAGGCTTTGGAAGGAAAAGCAAGTTTTCCTCTCCAGAGGTTCTTGCACAGGTAGTGCTTCCCCACAAGCATGGAGAGGACCACTGGGCTGGTGGACCAGTTTTACTATTAAGCACTGCAAAATGTTAGTCACTCCCCACTGAATTGCCTCAGGATAGTGAATCCTGCTTCCCCCATCTTTCTGCCTCACGGAGTATTTCATTCCATGCAAACTTGAACAGCACTGCTGTATCTACATCCTCTTTCTGGTCCAGACCTACATCTCTTATTTTCTTGCATCATTTCCTTATCTGTATAATACTCTGCTTCCTCACAGAACATGGGGAGAATAATTACATGCTAAAGATAGCGAGGCACACAGGTAAAAGCCTGACAGAATTAAGTGCTAGCCAGCACAGCTCCTTGTATTAGCTATTCTATTAGCTGAATTCACAGGGCTGATAGAGAAGAAAATAGTGATGGGAGCAGAAATTCATCACCTTAGTGATGTGGGAGAAGCATTATCAGGCTGCACAGTTGCATGCTCTAAAAGTACACTCTGCAGTTAATTGTACTCAAGATAAATCTGGTGGGAAAAGATGAATAGTGCTGTTTACTTTTTAATTCAGTCCCCTGGGATGCTAGGCTCCATTTGAAAGCCTCCACATTAAACACATCTAATAGCAATGGCTTTGAAGTACTTTGGTGCAACTGTCCTGTGTTTGGAAAAATATAGAGAGAACAAAACATCAGAAGTTGTCATTTTTATCAATGGGTACAAGTTAACAGAAATCTTCCTCCTGTGCACACCCACCCTGTAAATGCTGCGCTCTGTGTGTCAGGAAAGAGAAGAATTAGAGGCTAGTTTTTCTGGATATATTAATCTCTCTTTTCCATCTTTCTTGTTGCTACAAGCGTGTTTGAGTCACGTGTATGTTTTGGTTTCCATTTCTATGATTTTTCAGTCACTGAAGACAAAAGACAATGTTTTCCGCTGCATAAAGAGCTATGAGATCAGATTAAAATCTCACAGGCAGTGCCATTATGCAGCCAGACTTTCAAGGTAGGCGAAGCAAAGCGTTCCTCTCTATATTATAATTTTCTAGCTTGTGGAACAACCTTATGCCTGACACTTCTTGATTTGTTGAGCTTTACCACCTTCATCCATCACCTTTTTTAATACAGTTAACAAGAAGTTATTTGTGGTAAGGGACCATTCTTACTGCTTTTACTTTGTCATTTTACTCCTGCTATTGTGATCAGATACCGACGTGTGCTACAACTGCCTGAATGTTCCACTACCTGCAATATAGCCATCATTCTTCCCCGCACACCGGAACAAACCACTTATGTTTCAGCCTAGATGACATTTATTGCATATAGCAAATAACAGAAAAGCATTAAATAAATATGGGTTTGCCAAAGCTATCTGTTAAGAACTGGGCTTCTTACTCTTTTAGGTGGCTTTGAAAATCATGACACCCATGAGACAGAGAACACCGTGACTTCCATGCACTCAAACACAAATGCAAAGTACTTACTGAATGGAACACACATACAACTGAGCAATCAATCCTCCCTTCTCTCCCACAGCTATGAACAGCAGGAGCTGTAAGTCTGAAACATCTTAATCTTTATGTGAACTTGCTATGAAAGGATGATGGAATTAAACCAGAGTCCCTGTAGCTTTTGGGAGTGTTTATTATTACTTTAAACCAATGAATCCAGGTTGGGATTGTTCATAAGGTATTGCAGGCTTTGCCAAAGATGAGCTTTGCAGGAGTTCTCTTTGTAGGGCCAGTGCCAGATTAAAATCAGAGTAACCAGAGAAGCAGGCTGCAACCTGAGCAGCACTGCAGCAGAGCTGACATGCATGCTCCATGCTGCAGTAAGTGATGCTGTAAGACCCTGATGAGCTTGAAGCCTGGCTCTGAGGTAAGCCAGGTGAAAGGGTGAAAGGCAGAGCCTTCTGGAAGCAAAAATACTGATCTGTACTAGTATGCCTCATGTGATTTAGGTACACAAATGCACAAGGACAGAAGTTTCACTAAGATACCACCACATAAATGCTAGGCTATATAACACTGTGTGATTTCAGAATATGGAGTTAGCTAGCTTGAATTTACTCACTTCAGCAACCTGATTTTTTAAGCAATTAAATGGGAAAATGCTGTGTGGGGATTTAACCTAATTTTAGATATCCATCAGAGCCATGTAAGTTATGAATCAATTCAGGCTCCCAACAGTCAATAGAGAGAGGGGAGGCCATTATCACATCCTGCAGCATGGAGCATCCTGCAGGGCTGCCTAAAACTAGATGATACAAATTCCTGTTTTCAAATACATGGGATATGCTGAAATATTTGTAAGGGTGAGTAGGCAAAACTGAACCCCAAGGAAATGTATGCACTGCATCAGAGTTGGAAGAAAACATGAACCCGTTGTCTGTGCACTGTGGCACCTTCAGCCCCCCTTCCAACATGGGAGGCTTGAGTACCAAGCAGCCTCTGTACTTTGACCTCCGAGGTGATGAAGGCAGTACTGAGCTCTGTGCAGACCAGGTTTGCATTTCTGGAGAGCTGTAAATCAGTTCTGAACCCATTGCCATGCTGACACCTGTTCTGTATGTTGCTATCTCATTATTTGTTTAATTTCATAGTGTCAGGCCTATACTCCATGGTGCATATTCCTGACTCAAAACATTAGTCTCTAATTGAAAAAACATTACTGCATATAAAGTTACAATAATCACAGATGCTTTAATTAGTTGAGTAAATGAATAGGAAGTAATCGAACTTACCCAACAGACTCTTCCCTCTACTTAGCTTTTGAATTCTATTCATTTCATTCTGGCAAGGAAGACCTAGAATATAACGTATAAGAATCAATTTCCAGATGGCACGGGGCAGGCTCTGCAATGACTGGCTTCACTGCTGATAGGGAATGGAGACTGCTGTACACCTGGGAACGAAAGCAGCCCATATGCTGGCACTGCACTGCAAAACTCATTTATGTCATTAGCTCCACTAATTAAAAAAGAAAAAGAAGGCAACACACTGCAGTTGACAATCGTGTTTGGGGCCATTTTCATTGTGAAGCCCATTTTTCCTCCAAACTAATATAATGTCAGCTCTTTCATTTATGATTTGCTAATGATGTCTGCCTAAAAATGTAAGTTCTTGAGTTTTTTATCAGCAACAGGGCTTGCTACTAGACTGTGGGCACTGGTGCTTACTACTTCTTTGTTTGAATGATCAAGGGATATTAATATCGCTCATCTGTGACATTAAACACTGTTACACGCTGCCCTTTCACACCAGTGCTGGAGAAAAGAGCTGTTTAATGCAGCTGATTGCTAATTACCAAACTATCTCTATCAGCAGGTCAATCCAACCTGAAACACAGGGCGACCCAGACAACTTCTCTTTGTCCTGCCGATAGCATAACTCACCGCCTGGCTTCTGGAAGCAGTAGCACCACTCGTTGTTTGAAAGCTTTCCATCTTTGAAGGAGTCACAGGAGTTGAAGAGAGGCTTGACGCATGGCTCGTACTTATCCAGATAAATGGCACTGATCTCCGAGGGATCCAGCAGCAGGTCATAGTTCATGTCAAGTTTGTTGAACATCCAGCCTAAGGAATCCTTGCAGATTGGTAGTATGCTGGTGTCAAATCCTGTAAGAAGACAGGCACACATCACCGGCTGAACCCCAGCATGCCCACTGCACAAGAATCATTGCTAAGCTGAAGCCTTGATAATACACTTTTGGCTGGACTCTGAACATTGACCTGACTTGCCCGAAGCAGAACAAAAGCCTAAGACTGAACTGATTGCATTGAATTTAAAACCCAAGCACAGCCACAGCGCGGAGCACCGCTCACACACGTTTCAGGAGCAGCGGGGTGGGAGGGCCGAGCTCCACAACCCATCACTGTAATTCAAAGTTATTTCTAATCAAAAAGTCTCACTTTCTTTTTCCAGTCCTCATTGCAAGTTGGCCTTGTTCCAAGAAGCTGAAACGTGATGAGAAAAGGCTTCATCCCCTAGAGTTTCAAACTAGACTACAGGCTCATTGTGGTTTAAATCCTGCTTCCCACACCTATTGCTAGTTCCTGGACAAAATTCTTCCACCTCTCATCCCAGCTTTTCACTCTACAAAGCCTTGCCTCCCATGGCGGACAACAAAATGCTTTGATCTGGGTTATGAGCTATGTGGGGAAGAGAAGGGGTGAAGCATCTCTTTTGCTTGCATCACTGTGGAGAATGGTACCACTTCAGCTGCCCATGCTCTTGGCATGCCATGCCAGCACTATCCCTTCTGACGGCCTCCAGAATTGTACAGCATTACAGGATTCTGCTCTTCCAGTGCTTTGGAAACCATCATCATCATTCATTTTAATAGCCCAGATCCTTAAAAGACTGCACCAGCAGCAGCTATCAAAGAAAGACCAAGTTATGTATACAGATACCTACAACATATATGAGGTACGCGTGCCAGTATTCTGCAGTCTCCACAAAAGCAGTGGCATTGCCTTCTTTCATAAACATTATAAATCCATACTGACACTGTATTTAAAAATGCTTGGTACAAATACGGACTAATTTGCAAGTTATCTATGATGCAAGAAAGTGTATTTGTGATGCACAGCTAATAAATAAGGACAATGGTTTCACCAAGGACCTGGAAACATGCATACACTGCCTGGGGATTAAGAGGGACAAAGGTACCTGAACCACGCAACCTAGGCCCCCCGCTCTCACTCTGTTCCAGCAGCCTATGGACTGTTCATTCTGCTATGGGCCATGTGGAGAAGCCTGATGGGCTTTTTCCTTTTGCTGCATCTTTCATTGAAAGAGGTCAAGCTTGGCCTTATGTGCTGTACGTGTCAAGTCCCATTTCAGGATGTTGCTTTGTTAAACTGAAACATAAGATGCTGCTGGAATCATGCTGACAGTTTGTCCAAGCTCTGCAGCCTACCTGCTATTTTAAGTATTAACCCAAAGGAGGGCAGTGCTTTATGCTGGAAGCAGTGTTTTTTGTATGCAGCTGAAAGTTGTCAGTGACACGGAGGAACAATCAGAAGGGTTAACTAATGGGAAGGTTTATGTCATTCATAATACATGTTGCTCTAAGAATGGAAGAAGGTAACACCATTTCCTTGCGGCTAGAGGCAGCTGGGGCAGGAAAGAGAGAATTCATGCTGAACACTTCATCACATTTTTGTGCTCTTATCTCCTCTAATGTTATCTAATCGAGTTTGAGCACAGTGAAAAGGCCATGTGAATAGATGCAGGGAGGAAGCCTGCTTGCCTTGCTGAAGCAATTAGGACTATTGACTTCAATTATTCTATTCATCTGAGGAACACAAGCAGGATTTGATCACTGTGCCATCTTTTGTTGAGTGAAAGATTTCATCCTTTCCTTTGCCTTCACAAAGCACTGAGGAGCAGGGCACACAGTCCTGCCTTGTGCTGATATATGCTCTGCCTGATTCCCCACCACGGGGCAGGTTGTAAGTAGTAATCAAACAGGCAGGCATGGATCATTCAATTGCATGGTGGAGCTGGGATCAGTACATGCTTCAGCTATCCCAGTTTAACAGCTTCCAGGGGAAAACCAGCTGTGTTCCACTGGCTGCTCTTTTCCTGCGCAGATCCCCTCTCCGGTGATGGTCTTTACACCCTGTCATGGCATTTACTGCTTCTAAGGTGAATGAATACAAGGTGTGTTGTACAAGTTGAGTACAGTATGTGTTGTTCAGCCATGTCTCTAAAGGTCACCTCCTAACTGGCAAGTATCAGCACAGGGAGGAGTTGATCCTCGCATGAACTTGCCCTTGACAGTGTCTGTGGATTGTTTCTGAGTCCTGTTTTCCTCCCTGCTGGGAAGTCCTTATCTGTGTGTACAACATACATTCAGGGATACACCACCAGCATGCCCTCTGCACTGACCTGCCTGAGCAGATCACAGGATAGTGACTGATGTGACTACGAAGCTGCTCTGTGACATACCATCAGGGCTTGAATGCAAGATACGACCATGAAAGGTCACTTATAAAGACAGTTATTTACATTAGTTGAAGAGCTTTTGATTGTAATTTCTTATAAACAAGGAAGCTTTCACTGGTGTGATCAAAGCTCCAGATTAGGTTTATTAAGAGCCTGAATTATTGAACAGTGCTGGATTATTAGTGTGGTCTGGAAGTCTTTAAATATTACAGTGGTACAGGTTATGAAAAGCTCTTAGCTAGATGTCTGCATCAGTGAAAAGGTTAATTCTTTAATTGTCCCTTAATATGTGGCTAAAGGTGAATAGCAGTATCTATCTTGACTTCATATTGTCTCCTGGTAAAAGCTACTCTCTGTAAATCACCTTTTGCAAGAGTGCATCTGCAGTGGAAGACCAGCAATCCTGGATGCCCTCAGCACCCGGCAACAGCAATGAAAGCAAAGCGTGCCCTGAGTGTGCAACACAGGCTCTGACTTACTGTGTAACCAGGGCAGCTGATAGAAAATGGTTCTTGGAGCTCACTTGCCTTCACCAGGAGGTCACTGTGCTCCCATCAGCTTGGCAAGGCCAACTGGTTTTGAATGAATTAACTCCTATCTAGAGTCTTTTGATACACTTGCCTATAAACATGATGCAATATGCTGGATGAAATAAACCACATACTGTATTGTAATGAATTACGTGCTACAGTCTGGACTTCTGGCAAAACAGACCTGGAAAAAACAGTAACCTCAGTGAGAACTTTCCTGCATCTTTCTGTGCATCAGCTCAGTGGTACAGTGCCTATGGGGAGAAGCAGGAGAGTGCTGCAGGCTCCACATCCCCCCTGCTTTTGGCTCCTTGGCAGAGGATGCCAAAAGAGATGCCAATTAATGTAAGTTGTGGTTGTGGTTGCTCTTGTTTGGACACCTGCTTACAAGGACCTGGACTGACACCATCATGTTCCTCATCCTGACAGCTGTTGAGAATCCTAACAACTTTCATCCACCGCAGATCTGGAAGGAAATCAAGCCGGTGACCTACATGTAAAAGTCCCATATGCGATTAACACATAAAACGCTCCACCTCCTCTAAATTAAAATGGAATTAAATTAAAAAGGGTCTTTAAGTGGAAATCCTAATTAAAAATAAACACATCTTCCAGCACACAAAATTATTTTCCCCCTTCAAGAGCTGGCTTACATGAGCCAGCTTTATTTCATTGAAGTGTATTACAATTAAAGTAACAGGGGAATAATTAACCTAATTTCCCCCATCGCTTAAAATAAAAGAAGGAGGAGAAGAAATGTTCCCCAGAAAAAACCCTTTATATTGCATAGATCTCCAGTAAAAGAAAAACAACTCCCACTCCAACCAAAGAGACTATCTAGATAAAATGCGGGAATGTTAGGAATTACCAACAGGCTCAGGAGCAATCTGAATCTGATCTTACTCCCTAATTAGTTTTATTGTTTCCTTATGTCAAAGCATGTCCCTGAGATGCTTCTATTATTTACTGAGGAGCTTTCCATTGTACAAAGCCTGCAGAAAACAAAGTTCCTGGCCTGTGGTGCTTTGTTGGGATCTGGGAGATAGCTCATTGAATGAAGGTTTGAGATTTCAAGCACAATGACTTGTCCTCATCCTTTTCCCTTCAGGAGAGTAAAAAAGAAGAAAAGAGTGCACTTTTCAATTCACCTGGGGGTCAACTTAATAAACTCAAAAAGCTTATTTACACTCACAGTAACATCTTGAAAATTTAATGTAGCATAAAGAAATCTCTGCTGGAACACCTTCTCTAGACAGCTGATGTGTCCAAGGCATCACAGTCATCGCATCCCACCATCTGTTCCTTTTACTGCCACAGGGGCATATCCAAAATGGATTATTTTGAGGATGTGCGTGCCTTTTAAGACTCTACAGGCATAACCAAACCAAGTTCAGTTTAATGAAGTGATCAGCCCTGGTGAGAAGAGCAACACACGCAGAGCAATAAAAAAGGGCAGTGTGTACATCAGAGCTTATTTCCAGAGCTGTGTGTGTCCTTTTTGCCAGGATTCACATAAATTCCTTTTTTCAGCTTGGCTTTGTGAACTTTACTTTGAATTCTGAGCCTTGTTTAAGATGTCTTTCATTGTTAGAAGTGTTTAAAGCTAGAAGAAGCCAAACACTGCTGTCCTTACCCTGTATTTTCAGTGCTACCAGAGAGAATTGGAGCTGCAGAATTTGGCACATGCAGAGTAATTCATGCCTACTGTTGCAAACTCTTCAAAAGAAAACCATGCCCAAGTTTTGTGGCATTCAAAACTGATTTAACCATCTTCACTCACAAAGTTTCATTCTTTTTAACTGACACATAAGAAAATGTGCCAAACTAAGTCAACAGTCTAAAAATGAACATTGTTGAGATCAAGTGTTTAAGAGCATCAAGGCAGCTTTTCATATAAAAGCTGCCAGGAATCAAACTAAACTAAAAAGAGATAACAGTTCCTCTGTGAGTCAGAGCAAACACTGTGGAATTACCAGGAATGTTTTTCTCACTGAAATTGCTTCAGCAAAAAGAAGCCCAGACCCAACACCTTTAGGAACTGAATTTGGTCTTTGGCCTTTGGTAAGGTCCTCAGGAGCTCCTCACAGGTCATCCGCATGAAAAACACATTCTTTTGACAACCTGATAAAATGAGATTTCATGTGGTTCTGGGCCTGAATGACAAAGTTTTAAGTGTCTGCTGTTTTCTGTCATGAGCTCTGAATTCAAAGCTTGAAGCTGTGTTTAGCTGTACATCCAGTTGAATTTTTGTACTACGGTTTGGCTTCCTCTGCACAATAATATCCCTTTTTGAAGTAGCTTTTAAGGAATAAGTAGGACATATGGTTTTATAGATACTGGCTTTTTTGTAAATACTATGGAAAATAAATAAGGGACATATGAAAAAAATCCATTTACACAGAACATGGCTTGTTTCACCACATAGTTTTAAGATATCATTACTTGGCATTAATGAGGTTTGACTACAGTTTTGAGCAATACAGTCTGGTATATTCTGTCTCTTTAGGAAGAGGTAATCTTAGAAGTAGCAGAAAAGAGTGGCTGTCTAGACATGGATCAAGAGCAAATGCCCATCCTGATGTGCTGAGCCTGCTCTACTGCACCTTTAGCATCTCCAGTCTCAGGCTATAGGGAAACCAGGCAGTGGGGTCAAAAAAGCTGTAAAAGGCAGCAGTTGGCCGAACCCTTTAAATTCTGTGTTTGTGGACCTTGGCTTTAGTCAGCTTGCACCAGAGAATCAGGGCAGAGAGGTGAAGGGGAGTAACACACCTAGACAGAACTTGCGCATCTTACTTTGCAGCTCAAGAGCCCACGTGTTTTGGGGCATACTATTTAAAGGGATTAATGAATCCTCATAGAAAACAAAGTCTGATCTGCTCTCTGATGAACATGACCTCTTTTGATGCTGTTAGCTGAATCTTTCTGAATCCTTCCCTCCCTGGTGGGTAAATGACATCAAAATGAGTCATGTTGGCTTAACCCACAGAGAGTAAATGTCCTCTAAAATGTTCATTCTCTTCCGTCTTAAAAAAACCCCAACAACCAACCAAACTCAAAACATCAAAGGAAGCAAAGATGGTGTTATTAAATGCCTGGGACACAACAGATTCTACCTTTCCACACGGGTTAACTATTCCATCTCTGATGGCTGTGATGTGGATATTTTTATTATTCTTTCTCTTTTATAAAGGGCTAGCAGGAAATTGCAAAATAAAATTAAAGTGAATCTTTTCCAACATTGGCATCATTTTCCCTATGCTTGTATGGCATGTTTTTGGCTCGTCCCACTGACACTGGGTTAGAAAATGCTTGGCCATAAACTGAGGAGGTAAGCATATGCCACTGCCTGTCCCCAAGAAATGATTTGGATGCAGCCACACTGGCGTGGAGGGTGATGGAGTTTGACTGTACACACACGAATTAGTTAACCTCAGGGCTTAAGAAAAGTCCCTGAGCAGGTTTATTTACTAGCACAGCTGTGACCTCCATGGCCCTCAGACACACGTATCTGCCTGATTAACTTGTAAAGGTCTCTTTGTCTCAAACTGCCAATTTTTAGAGCAGTTTGGGCCAGAAAGAGTACAGAATGACCGCATCTCAGATAGAAAAGGATGCAGCTATTTATCCACAGAATGAGGTCTCCTGCATACCTGCTCACTTACTGGCACCTGCTTGACATGACATTGTGGCACTAACAGCTGTGCTCAGCTCAATGCTTTCTCGGGCTGGAAAGCTGCCTACAACACTCAGTGTTCAAAGGGAAAGGTGTTTTCTTACTGCCTTGTGCTGTCTCTGAGCTCGTTGGTTTGATGACACGATTTGCATCCTCATGGAGAGCACCGAACCAGTCTTTTAGTCGGGAAGCGAGATTCCTCAGTTCTTTGTCTGTGCAAGCTAGAAAAAGAACAAAGCACGAGGCTGAGTCAAGAGCAGCAGCAAAAGAAACCCCTTTCTTCAGATAGGCTGTTAGAAAAATATTGCTATGGTTGTACAGTTCTCATCAAGAGCTCTGAAGTAAAAGAAAAGGTTAGGGAAAAGATGAAAGTTAAAGAAAAAATGTAAGTCATTATGCATTATAAATTGTACTCAAGTACTTCCTTGGTAGCTGATGTGATTTGTGATGAAAGAAGTGACACAGAGAGCTACCCGCAGGTTCTCAATTAGAGCTATGTGACTATTTAACTTAAATGTTTTCACCTTTTAGGATTTCAGAGAAAAGTATCAGTCAAACAGATGGGGAGGAGGGACAAACTTGCACACTACTTGAACAAGATGCTAGGGATAATTTATAACCACATTTGGCTTAGTGGAAGGCTATTATCACAGTCATAGGAAACACATATACTTATTTATATACGTGAAGAAGAAAACTGTTGTGTTGCTCTAGTTCTACTGCAACTGAGACTTTGCCACCTCTGAAGGTTGTCAATTCCATTTTGTTAGCTAGGTGAAACATTTTTCTTATACATTTTCACTGAGGAATATTTAATTTTCCCAGAAATTTCTGCCAAGACAATAATGTCCAAAGCAAATAGTTTTAAAGAAGAAAACTGAATTAGTCACCAGTTTCTGTCAGAAAAAATATTCTTGTTACTATATCATGTTTAGTGCTTAAAATCCACATGCTCAATTTTTTCATCCCTGCTCTGCACTAACTCTACATTTTAAATGACACTTCTTGGAATATAGAGCAAGATTTTATGCCATAGATGCAGACATCCTTCAGAGGGCAAGCCACAATATGTCTTCTCCAATTCACTGCACATTCTAATATCCCTCCTTCCACCTTACTGAAGAACAATTGAGTCCCACAGCTTGTCTTCCCCAGTCAAACTCAGTGCTCCGATGACTGCAATGAACCCACTGATACCTTATGGCTCTGGGGAGTATTTGTTCTGACAGTTTTTTGGGGGGGTCTGAAGTTAAAACCAGGATATTAGAGCTTTTTCTAAGTGGACAGGTTTTTAGCATTTGGTGGGGAGAAAGATTTTCCCATTTTTCTATAAGGCTGCGTTTGATAGATTTTCCCATTAAAGATAAAAACATAAAAATCCCATCGAGTCGATATAGGGAAAGATCAGGTCTCAAAGAAGAAGAACAACAATTAATGTAAAATAAGTGGAAGACAATACAACATTAACTGTAAAGTGGCTTACATTACCAAAAAAGCTTATCGCTTGATTTTCTCACTTAACATATTTAATTCATTTTAAACTATCTTTGCAAGTTAAGACGAGTGATAGGATTTTTAAGCCCAGTTTCAGTAAGGAACATCTTACACCTCTGTTGTTTCTTGGCTGTTACTCACAAAGCCTTTTATCAGAGAAAAATCACAACAGAAGCAATAGGAGAACAGATTCCATCCTCTTGCCTCTACCAATATCCCATCAGGAGATGTTGCTTGAAGGAGCGAGGGGATAGGAAAACTAATTTTAAAGGCAATAAATATTCAGGAATGCCCTAACTCTAAACAGGCACAAATGATTTCTTCTTTTGTAGATTTAGATCCATAAAGATGTTTCGATCATGCACCAATTTCAACATGAGTTGGGCACCCAAATACATGTTGGAAGTGATGAAGATACTCTATTACATGGGAAGGGAGATGCTGTTCCTGTATCCCCTGTTGAAGTGTCAGTAACCGGTTTTCACCAGGCATATTTTTTTGCCAAAATATGATTATTAGGCACTTACAGCAACATGAGACCATGACAGCCTTCTTTTCAGTACCTGTCTTCACAAATGTTTCCTGGTAAGGATCAATAATGTTATCGCCTTTCACAATTAAAAGCAGGCAGAATCTTTCTTTCTGCCAAGTAACTGTCTTGTCCTTTGAAAACCAGCTTTGCAAAGGAGAAGAAAAATATGGCAAGTAACAAGTAGGTGTTGTTCAGCCAATACCTCATCTGTGACAGGGTATCCCTATGTTCAGAGTAGCTCACAAATGTATCTCCAGTCACAGCCACACAGAAACACAGCATTGACTACTGATTATGTATGGAGTGGGTGAAAAAGAGGATTCAGTTGTCCAAGAAAGGAGTAACATCATAGTTTTATTGTGCAAACCTGATACTTATTAAATATTTATTGTAGCACATGACAACTTGAGGAAGCCAAAGCTGGACTACGAACACCCATTCCTGTGCCTCCCTGACACCCTCATCGTGCCTTCTCTACGGGTATACTGAGCTTCACAGTCAATAAACCTCAAGGAAAAGAAATAGTTCTAAAGAAAATACGCCGTAGAGCTGTTTTCCTTGCTCAGATTTGTGTACTGACAAACAGACAACTCTAGACACCACAGGAACCTAAGCTGAGTCCAGTGCTCTGAGCAATGCCATCATGCCAGTGCAGATACCAGGCAGGAGCATGGAGCACACCCTCGCCTCCTCTCCCAGCCTCAGCACCACACAGAATGGCATTCCCAGTCCAAAACTAATGTCTCTAAAAGGAATTTCACTAAGCAGTCATCTGGTTTCAACTGCATTGCCTGAGGTGACTTGAATCCATGCTTTTGAACTGCAGCAGAAAACAGGATTGAGTACACAGTGTGGGTGGAACAGAAGTAGATTAATTAATGGTAAATCAGACTTGAATTGATTTCTCTGCACAGTCCAGCCAATCAAACATGTCAGGATCTGCAAAATGCCATTTATAATGAAGCCATTATATTTTTTCACTTGTCTGTAATGCTAGCTGTGTGGAGAACCAGCTTTTACCACACACATTCCTACTTACATCAATTCTCTGCTGTTACACAAGTGCTGCAATCCATAACCTACATCAGCTCAGTTATACCCTACGGCTGCTCAGACACAGCACCCCTACATTCTCCTATCATTCCCTAACTATATTTCTCTTGCTTTTGACGGAGCAAAAAAACCAGCTTTCAGCCTCTTCTGTGCTGTAGCTTCCTCAAGGACTGCCTCATCCACTCACTCTAAGGGCAGCCTTTAAAAGTGGACCTTGCCAACTTGACAGTAAGCCCAGAACTGGAGTTTTCTGCATGCTGGAAGGTATTTTTGTGAATAACTGGGATATTCTTTAAGCATACTGCTTAAGGACGATTCAACAGTGGGTATTATGTTGAGGTTCTCTCTCAGGACTGCATTCTTCTTCACAAGAATAACTGCTTCTTCAAGAATAAAAAGGAAACCAAGTGTTCTGTTAATCTGCAGTGAATAATACATGTCTTCATGAGACTTCCAGAATTTAATGCAAAGTTCAGTTAAATTTCTCTTCAAGCATTTCATGCCCTCAATCTTACTTCTTCCTGCACTTTAAAATAAAGGAAGTATTATTTTACATTTTCTGTATTTAATTTGATTTTAATGCTACCATGCATGGTTAAAAAGATTCTGCCTCTTGGCTCTCTCCCAGCAGAACTGCATTCTATTTTACTGATTTTATTTGAACATCTTCAAAAGTCTCTGAAACTGAGAATTTGTTTGGGACACATTATTTCAGCCACTTCAAAGTGGATTGACATTCAGAGGGCATGAGTTTAATACAGACAGAGGGAGGCCCAGCCTCCAGCTGGGTATCCAGGAACCAGAGCACTTAACAATTTATTTCTGGTGGTAGAGCCCATTACTTACATATCAAACAATTAGGAAGCATAGCTCTGAGGAGCCCCACATCTAAGTTCCTCATATATAAATTTGCATTAGTATAAGTTATAAAGCGTCTTTAAGAACCCTCTTCATGAAAAATGCACTGCAAATGTACCTCTTTACTATTAATAGAAATTTCAAATAACATTTCTTCCATGAGAAGAATAGGGATGTAGAAGGAATAGATGGGATAATGGGTCTCTTGCTATTTGAAGATCTATAAGGAGAGGATACCTAAGTTGCAAACAATATGGATAGTGATATGACTTGAAGCACTCATTAAAAAATCTAGAATGAAGAGAAGCACCAAGGGAGGAACATCTTCATAGTCCCTCTCTAGCAATTGGGATCTGTTTAGTCAATTGCCAACAACCATTTAAAACTCTAGTGCTGTGAAAAAGACACAAATGCAAACATGTCCAAGTATGCATCTTCACTTCTGTATGTATTTTCTTTAAGATAAGAGCATCTGCCTTAATTTCCTATATCTTTTTAAAAGGGGAAAACCACAAGTTTTTATCACTGTTATATTATCTATGTTACCTGTCATGTTCTGCCTTAGCAGCCTTCTGATATCAGGTCCCTACTTAATATTAATTCCTAGATCTTTCACTGCTGATGTGCTTCAATGAAATCCATTCACAGCCCACAGCTTCCCTGGAGGTCAGTACTGCTGCTGTTAGGAACAGGGATGGTGAGGCAGGTTCGCTGGTTGGCATCCAGCTCATCAACCTGATCGCAGTGCATAGTGCTGTACATCTGATGTGGTGGTGGTACCACAAGCAGGAGCAGAATCTGTCACTTCCCTGAGCCATGGCAATTTGAATGCAGGAGGAAGATCTATTTGTGGCTGGATTCCGCCAACATCCTCAGATCTGAACCCGCAGATGTTACGAATCATCTTGCAGAAATGATTTAATAGTGAGCACTGAAAGTACAGATTTATTCCCAAGCGTGAAGCAATTGGTCCAACAGTTATTTATTCTAATAAACTGAAAGCACTGTTGCTAAATACCTGTTTCTACCCAGCAGAAAACATTAATCTGACCTAATGGAAAGCCATTAGCATGCTGTAAAGGCTCAGGTTTTTATAGGTGTGATTCCATTATGGCCTTTTAAAGCCATACAGATACTAATCTATAACATCGGTGGTGAAAATTAACAGTAGTATTTAATTTCGCTCTTTCAAAGAGGGACTTTCAAAAGCACTCAGTGCCAGAAACCAACATTAAAACTGAACTTACCTGTAAACACATAAGATTAAATCAGTATTGGAAGTTT